ACACACACACACACACACACACACCTTGCATTACTAAACATTCTCCATTAATAAAAGCAATTTGTCATTTGTCATATTTACATTTTCTAACCGCTAAAATGTCTTTTTAGAGATTGTGAATATATAATATACTAATCTGAATGTCATTTCAGTTTATTTCTTGAAATGTAGCAAATGAAATTTGCTACAAATTTTTAATTATTTAATTTTGGCAATTCATTTCCTGCAATTTACCCCAAAGATTTGCACAATATTGTTTGAGTAACTCTTGTGAAATGCACTCAAAGAAGTAATGAGATGAACAGGATATAACATGGGTGACATCCCACCAGTGAATACTTGCCCCACCTACCTATTCCAGTCCACACCAATAAGAGCATGTTGCTTTTCCACTCCCCAAAAATCCAGAATTTAATTTTTATTTGTATAAAATTATTTTGGTAATGGGTTCACTTAAAGAAATGTTAATCACTCTACTGAAATCCATGACAGTTTGATCTCTGAGGTGTAGCCGCAGATTAATGTTTACCATATGACTTGATGCATCTTTTCCTGTCTCTTAGGTTGGTAACGACTCTAGTGAGCCAAAAGACAGAGGAGAAGATTTGCATCACAAAAAGGTAAATTTTATTAATTCAAGAGTTGATGAACTTTAGAAGGAAAAATAGAAAGACGAAATGTGCGAAGGCTCTCCATCATGTCTGGGGAAAACTAAGAATAGAAAAACACATCTGATCTAAATTTGGCTCCAGTCTCACTCACACTGGTCTCTTTGTGCAGTCCAACTGGTCTGCCTTTCAGACTAATACTACTAGGAGTGGAACGAAAATCTCCAGCCAAATTTTAAATTTCAACTTTTTATATATGCACACACTGCATAAGAAAAATAAAGCCTTTCCAGAAAACTGCAATACCTTAAATGGCCACTTATGGTTGGCTTAGAAACTGAGCAATACATATAGATTATTTATGAAGGATGGAGTTACCCACACACGATATCGCCATGGTTATGTGGCTAACTTTGTAGCCTCATTATTGGTATTTTGGGTACAGAAATGTTGTTTTTTCAGTGCCAGACCACATGTTTACTTCTAAAGTTAGACATTTTAAGATGACACTCTGTGGGTTTTAACACATTTTTGAAGCCAGTTTCAAGTGACCACTTGAGGAACTGCAGTTTTTGGCACTTCTGTGTTTGGTTTTGATTTTTAGCCCTGCAGATTGCCACTTGGTTCATCTCCATGGAACCCCATGCTCTCCATTGTTAGTTTTCTATTCACAACAACTGTACTGGTGATCTGTGGTTTTACTGCTCTTTGTAATCTGAATTCAACCACTTAATTCAACCAGATGTGAGCAGATGTTTTATGAGTTGTCCAGGCTGATCTCCATCGTCTACACTGACAGTTAGACTTGTAGTCAAGACCGCCTAAATCAAGACCGAGACAATACCAAGACCAGAGGGTATCGAGACCAAGACAGACCGAGTAAAGACCAAGAGAAAGTCGAGACGAGACTGGACTTTTCTTTGTAAGCTCCTTTGACTACAATGACCTGGATGACTGAGAACCTTCACAGAGCGTAGCTGAGCCACTGTGTGAGAGCTGAGGAGCGGGTCTCACTCAAGGGGAGTCGACTCTTCTGATTCACTACAAAGCACTCTCTAAGCACTGCTCTTAGAGCTGATGCTTTTGCACATGACACATTATCGAACGCTACGTTGTGTGTCATGGATACTGTTGACTCCAAATCTCCCGACCACTATGTCGATCTGAGACAGCAAGACCGAGACAGCAAGGCCAAGACGGGACCGAGACCAAGACAAGACCATGACCACGTAAAAGTGGTCTCAAGACCAAGACCGGTCTTGAGACATCTAACTCTACTGACAGTATACTGTTTATGCTGTCTTTATACTAGACAGTAAATGTAACATTTACAGTGACTTCTGATTTAAAATAATGAGGGCTTACATGTAAGCTTTAAATTTAAATGAACTTCTTTAAAGTTTATAATATAATGGTATTAATTTTAGTGCTTGACTGAGGTTTTAGTTATTTATTTTGGAGTCATGTATCTCTCGGCATATGTCGTGTAAAAGTGTGCTTGACTGTGAGGATGCTTGGGTCTTTTTCTTCTGGCTCACATCTATATTCTGTCTCTTTCTCTATAGCAGCGAAAGGCTACTGCTGTTTCATCTAATGACGAGACTACAGAACAAGACGTTAGTGCTTATGTATTTGTTAAAATTGTTTAAACGATTGTTTAAAATATCTGATTTTTAAAGTAATCTAATAAAACCTATCATTCTATATATTTCTCTTTAAATCCAGAGAGACTTTAGCACTACCCACAAGGATGGAAAGATCATACATTCCGACTCATCTCGTACTCAAGCAGCAGATGAAGAGAATATGGTGTGTTAGCTACTGTATATATATATTTATAAATGATATAAAATAAATTATCGCATGAAGATGTTTGTAGCTCATCACTTCCTGTCTCCTAGGCTGGACCATCAGATATCAGAGGAGGAAGTTCAGCCCATAAAATGGTAAAGCATCTTCAGTTTGAGCATTGTTTGGAAAGACAAGAACCCCTCATTCTGTTTACCTTTTAAAATCCAGAGACGATTAGTCGACATAGAAAACTGAAAAATACCATCTCAATATTATTAACATGCCTAATCTAAATTTGGCCACATTTACATTCAAATTGACCTCTCTAGTCCTTTTAGGGAGGAACCAAAAATAGCAGATAGCATGGTTTCAAGTGCAGGTCCTCATTCTGTTTTCCTGTTAAATCTTTAGAGCGATAACATCATCTGCAGTGATGGAAACACAGATTCCTACTCATCTGATGAAGATGAAGAAGACCCTATTGTATGTGAAGTAACAATAAGTGAAAATGATTTTAAGGATATCAAAATGATGACATCAAGATGTTCATCAGCCATCCTTTTCTGACTTGCAGGCCAGTCATCTGTCAGCTGGAATAGCTGAGAGCAGAGGAGGAGATCCGGACCATGAAATGGTAAATATGCACATGCAGTAAGAAGTGCAATAATTACTTAGTTAAAACTAAAGCAAACCATCCAAATAATGAATTTAAAGAAGGAACCCACACCACAAACGCAATCAAGACGCCCAACTTAGAATGCGTTCACACTGCAGACGAAAGCGCATCAAATCCGACTTTTTTGACCCTATGCGACCCATATCCGATCATGGTATGACAGTGTGAACGGCACAAATCCGATATTTTCAAATCCGATCTGGGTCACTTTCGTATGTGGTCTGAATCCGATACATATCTGATGTTTTAGAAAGCGACTGCTGTTTGAACGGTCATGTCGCATTAAATCCGTCTTTTACTCACTGACACAAGACAGACGCCAATTATCAGCGCCGGAGAAGACATCGCTGAACGCTTCCTGGCCATCCAGTGAAACTGTTGGGAAGACAACGTTGGAGAAACGTGAACATTTTATTTGTACTATAATCTGCAGATTCTGTCCGAAATCTGCAACTATCTTTGAAGACGCTCCTCCAAAAACAGCTTGATGAAGGATAATTAATTCAGGAACCAAATTTGACCAAAATTTGGTTTAAGTTTGAAGTTGTGAATTATTAGGCGCACGGGTACTTCGAGGATACTAACACAGGCAGCTGTAACCACTAAGTTCCTACTAGACTTCACCTCTTGAACCTCAGCCATTTAGGATACATCCTAAGCAAACATTGGTAACTTCTCTGTTACAATATTATAAAGTTTTAGTAGTGCTGTTGGCGTTAATCTCGTTAAAATGATGTTAATGTAGTGTTAGTGAGTTAGTGCAGATCACCCTGTGTGTGGGGCTGCACAGTGCACAGATTTTGGATCAACTTTTAATCAATTATTTAATTACTGCTTGATACACTGAATTATTTTGGAGACTGTATGTGTAGGTGAAGAGGAGCTTAAATGTGAGCGTAACAGCAGGGTTTTTCGTATAATATACCTGCTTATATCTCTTTCTCTTTTATGTTGTAGCACCAAGGAGCGACCAACTCTGCTTCATCTGATGATG